CCAGAAATTGAGAAATCGTAAAACTGAAAATCGAGAAAGTCTTTAGATTGATCTGATAATAATCGGTTTCCTAGCTATTTTTACACCACTGAATTAATTTTTGTAATCAGTTATACCGACTATTATTAACAATGTTTTTCCAATTTACGAGTTCATAGTTCAACGCTTAAACATTGAAAAACCGAGATGTTGAGAAATGGAAGAATCAGAAAATAGAGATATACAAAATTCAAAAAATCAAAAAGAGTAGAAATTGAGAATTCGAAAAATCTGGAATTTAAAAAAATCGAAAAATTGAAAAATTTAAATTGAAAAAATGAAACATCGCGAAATCGAAACATCGAATGATCGAGAAATTGAGAAGTCGAAAAATCGAAAAATATACAAATCGAAATAGCCCAAAATCGAAAAATTGAAAAATCAAATTTTAAAAATCGAAAAAATGAAAAACTGAAAAATCTAAAAGCCAGAAGGCGAAAATCGAAGTATCAAAAATGTGAAAAATCTAAAGTTTAAAAATTCGAAAAACTGAAACAGAAAAATCAAAGAACTGAAAAATTGAAAAATCGAGAACTTTTAAACATCAAAATATCGAAAAATTAAAAAATTGAAAAATCTGAAATTAAAAAATTTCAAAATTTTGAAAAGTCGAAAAATTGAAATATTGAAAAATTCTAAAACTGAAAAATCCCAAAAATGAAAAATTCCAAAACTGAAACACTGAAAACTTGAGAAATCGAAAAATCGGAAAGTCGAAAAATCAAAAATCGATTAATCAAGAAATTGAGAAATCGAAAAATCGAAATTTAAAAACGCCAAAAATTGAGAAAACTGGAAAATCGGAAAACTAAGGGAATCGAAAAATTCAAAAATCGTAAAATTGAAATAATGGAGAAATTGGAGAATCGACAAATTGAAAAGTTTCAAAACTGAAATATTTGAAAAATTGAGTCATCGAATAAACTAGAAATTGAGAAATCGAAAAACAGAAAATCGAGAAAATCTTTCAATTGAAACATCGCGAAATCGCAACTTTGAGAAATCGAGAAGTCGAGAAGTCGAAAAATCGAAAAATGCAGAAATCGAAATAGCCCAAAATCGAAAAATTTACAAATTGAAAAATCAGATTTTAAAAATCGAAAAATTGAGAAACCGAAAAATCTAAAAACCAGAAGGCGAAAATCTAAAGACTGGGAAATTGAAGCATAAAAAACTAGGAAAATCAAAGAACTAAAAAATTTAAAAATCGAGAAATTAAAACATCAAAACATCGAAAAATTAAAAATAGAGAAATCGAAAAAAAAAACAGAAATTAAAACTTTAAAAAATCGACAGATTGGAGAATTGACAAACTGAAAAATCCCAAAACTGAAATATTGGAAAATTGAGTAATAGAAAAGTTCAGAAATTGAGAAATCGTGAAACTGAAAATCGAGAAAGTCTTTAGATTGATCTGATAATAATCGGTTTCCTAGCTATTTTCACACCGCTGAATTAATTTTTGAAATCAGTTTTACCAATTATCAACAATTTTTTTCCAATTTACGAGTTCATAATTCAACGCTTAAACTTTAAACATCGAAAAACCGATATGTCGAGAAATCGAAGAATCAGAAAACAGCAAAATACAAAATCCAAAAAATCAAAAAGAGTAGAATTGAGATTTCGAAAAATCTAAAATTTAAAAAAATCGAAAAATTGAAAAATCTAAATTGAAAAAATGAAACAATGCGAAATCAAAACATCGAAAGATCGTGAAATTGAGAAGTCGAAAAATCGAAAAATACAGAAATCGAAATAGTCCAAAATCTAAAAATTGAAAAATCAAATTTTAAAAATCGGAACAATGAAAAACTGAAAAATCTAAAAGCCAGAAGGCGAAAATCGAAGTATCAAAAATGTGAAAAATCTAAAGTTTAAAAATTCGAAAAACTGAAAACAGAAAAATCAAAGAACTGAAAGATTGAAAAATCGAGAACTTTAAACATCAAAATATCGAAAAATTAAAAAATTGAAAAATCTGAAATTAAAAAATTTCAAAATTTTGAAAAATCGAAAAATTGAAATATTGAAAAATTCTAAAACTGAAATACTGAAAACTTGAGAAATCGAAAAATCAGAAAGTCGAAAAATCAAGAAATTGAGAAATCGAAAAATCAAATTTAAAAACACCAAAAATTGAGAAAAATGGAAAATCGGAAAACTAAGGAAATCGAAAAATTCAAAAATCGTAAAATTGAAATAATGGGAAAAAGAGAAATAAAAAAATCGAGAGATTAAAAATTCCAAAAATCGAGAAACTGGAGAATCGACAAATTGAAAAGTTTCAAAACTGAAATATTGAAAAATTGAGTCATCGAATAAACTAGAAATTGAGAAATCGAAAAACAGAAAATCGAGAAAATCTTTAAATTGATTAATCGGTTAATTTTCAAATCAGTTTAACCGATTATTAACATTTTTTTTCCAACGATTTCATAGTCCCGCAAAGTATAGATGTAGCATTTCGGATTTTACGTCATTTGTTTCTTTGATTTTTTGGTTGCTACAGTTGATTTTTAAACCAAAATTGACGTTGCTCTCAGTTTGAGAAAGTTTATAAATCTGATTGGGCCATTTTCCGGTAGGTGGTATCAAGGGAAAAATTTTAGAAAATTCAGGAAGCCCCGGAGCTACTTTTTTGCCTGCATTCTTGTTCCATAGATTCGAATTAATAAAATGACCAAATTTCAGAAGGATACTTCCCGGAATACGCAAATTAGAATCACGTGATCAAATTTTGAAAACACTGTGGTGCGAAGGAAAAATTTGGCGAAGAAGTGACAGTTCTCATATAGATTTGAAAATTGAGCTCCTAGTTAAACTGATACAGCTGAAATCACTTTTAAAATCATTTAGAAGATATCTCCCCGATTTTTTTTCTGTTTACAGGGTCAAAGCTCCGGAATAACATATCGTAGAGTACGCCATTCAATTTCTTCGAATCTTTTGATCGCGACTGTGGATTTATCGACCGGAATCGGTATCCGTTTCAGTTTAAGGGAGTCCTAAATTCAGTCACGCTATTTTCCGGTATGTACAGTGGAAAAAAAATCAGAAGGCTCCACAAAAAGGCCAAGCTATATAAGGTTTCCTGTAGAAAAAGATCTTTTGGACGACGTAAAAGTCAGGTTTCTAACTAATTTAACACTGATTAATCCATTTCTGAGATTAGTTGCGTGTGTTTATGGGAAGAGGGAAGCTCAGTCTAAATAAGTTGAAGTCAATTTTTTTTAGAAGCAAAAATAAAATTTCATTTAAATTTTTGACAGTTACAAAATCAGCAACCAAAATAAAAACGCTCCATTGAATCCAATCGATCTTGTTCCATTCCAACTTCAAAATACAAGGCCGCCACCGACCCACATTCCTTCGAGAAACATTCCGCGGAATAAGATATTTTGTAATTCAACAAGGAATCGCATGTTTTTGATGTTCGATCATAACTCCGGCTCGGCTCAAGTGACCCATTCGTCACAACCCTGTCATGGATCTTTCATACACCGAATAAACATTCCCAGTACAAGGAACATCCAGCATATTTTCCGCCGGCTCGGAAATTCAAATATTTGTCCAAATGCAACGCATTATGGAAAATTCGCTAAAGAAAATGTAATGCACGGCTGAAATATCAACTCCGGTCTGTGCAAACATTAAGCAGCGTTGTAATTCGCAAGGGCCATATGCAACCCGGAAATAAATTCCCAAAGAGGCGAACTTGCTAAATCGTAACGGCATTAAGCTCGATTAAAAAAATAATTAATTCGCTAAATGTGTTTTACACATTTTTACATTAAGCTAATGAATTACAACAGAGCTCATTAAAAAGGGATCTCGTCGCCGATTTGTATTCGTTCCGCTGGATTTAATTTTGTTGAATTAATAAAGTTTATTTCGAGGAAACAGATGGTTTGTTATGGCTTTTAGAGGGAAGTTTTTAAGGTTTTCTGATGAATGATTAATTTTTTTGCTTTGCGTGGGGCTTTAGTCTGGCATTTTGAATTTAATCGCGACCCTTTGTAATTTATTACAGATAGCTGCTTTATTTGTTCGGAGAAACACATGCGGTTTGTACGAACGCCGGCTGTGGGGAGAAAATTATTTTAAATGATGAAACAAATTACGCCGGCAGGATCACTTTCGGATGCTACAGGATTTTAGTGTCGGGGGTCAAATTAGGCTGAATCAATACAATAATTTAGTTTGCTATAGTCAACTGCAGCTGTACATCGATCCGTGGCGCACTTATCATTCCATTTATTTTTACAATATGTGAACCGACGCACGGTTCATTGAATTTTCATTAAAAATAACTCGTGATTGCAAGTTTAAAAATCCCATAAAAAATTAGTCCTGGCATCTCTTTCCTGTTAATGCAGCAGCACATTGTCAACAAATCCGCCCGACACAAATCTTTCACGGCGGGAATTAGGATGCGGCGAAAATATTAGCTTCGGACAAGAAAAAAATTAATAAACCCGAACCGTCAGCGTAAAAATAACATGAAAGCGAACATCCCAAAACACGTGTTGATGATGGTTGTATCTCAATCAAAATTCAAGGAACGTTCAGATAATGCAATCGCTATGCAAACGCCTCTCGTTCGAATTAGGGTCAGCTTCTGCATACATCAGTCGGGAAATTAATGAAACTGCATCCATTTTAAAGATTGATGCGGCTGTAGTGAATGAGGAAATGGAAACCAGAACTCGGACCGATTGAAATCCTGTAATAAATCTGTCGATACATTCAATTTCGTCAATCAGCGTAAAAACACAAAATCGCTTTGGCACCTGTAGTAATTGGGACTTTCGCGGAACAAAGGTGGCAGCGCGGCGGAGTGCTGCCAACAATAATACGTCGAATTTTCCGAGTATAAATTTATCTCGTGTCCGTTAACGGACTTCTGGTATTTCCACGAATTAGCCTAATCTGGGCCTAATTCCTGTTTTTATTTGCAGTACATCGGCATGCTGGACGTGCCCCGACCGACCAGTAGGGTGGAAATCGTGGCGGCGATGCGGAGGATACGAGTAAGACCCGGATTTATGGGCTCAGAGGCAGATCAAATTATGTCTGTTTCAGTATGAATTCAAAGCGAAGGGAATTAAGAAGAAGAAGGTGACGCTGGAGGTCTCGGTGGACGGCGTGAAGGTGACGCTCAGGAAAAAGAAAAAGGTAACTGAAAGGGAGATGTTGAAACTTTTGTATTCAGACTGCACGTACAAGAAAATACTTTTAACGGCTGTGGTCTTAGCAAATGGCTCGGATGAGAAAGGGGAAACACTAGATTTTTATTAAAGAGTTTTATTTTCCCGAGCTTTCCTTTTGTCACTACACATTTTTCTTCAGGTTATAAGTCTAAGCTCGTTCTTGCAAAAGCTCGCCCGTTTTATGTTTATTGCCCGCTTTCGCGCGTTAAGGCTGAACGACCAGCAAAAAGTCCACGATATCGAGCCCACCAACGAGAATTTTCGATACTGGATAGCGATAATTATCCTGTATCCTGACCCAACGCAGTCTGTGTGATCTATTTAAAAAATGCCTCGTTTAAGGTGATATTTTAAAATGATTTTCAAATACAGGGTGAGTCACTACGGGCGCGGTCCTCTCATTAATTATTAGAAATAGAAAAAAGTCAAGGACCCTATATATTTTTACATATTTTGATTGATGTCGTCTTAGGCTTTATAACTGCAGTTTACTTTTGAAATTACGATGCGAGGTTGCCACACAACAAAAAATTTTAAAAACCGAAAAAGAAAAATCAAAAATTTTAAAAATTGAAAAATTGAAAAAGTAAAAAATTGAAATTCGAAAAGTCGAAGGATAAAGATAAAGCAATCGAAAAATTTAAAAAACCGAAAAAGAAAAATCAAAAAATTTAAAATTTGAAAAATGAAAATATCGAAAAGTTGAAAAATCCAAAAATCAAAATTGGAATGTTGAACAATTGAGAAATTGAAAACTTGAAAAATCGAGAGATTGAAAAAAAAATGGAAAATCGAAAAAGCGAGATATCAAGAAAACGAAAAATTTTAAAACGAGAAATCAAAACATCAAAAAATCGTTAAATCGGAAACGAGAAAAAGATCAAAAGATCAAGAAATCGAGAAGTAAAAAATCGAAAAATTGAATAATTGAAAAATGAAATTTTAAAAATCGAAAAGTTAAAATATCGAAAAATCTACAAGCAAGAATGCGAAAATCGAAAAACTGGGAAACCGAAGTATAATAATGAGAAAAATCTAAAAATTAAAAACACGAAAAATTAGGAAATAGAAACATCAAAGAACTGAAAAATTTAAAAACCGAGAAGTTAAAACATCAAAACATCGAAAAATTAAAAAAATTGAAAAATTGAAGATTTCAAATTTAAAAAATCGTAAAATCTTGAAAAATCGAAAAAGAAAAAATCATATAATCGAAAAATTCATAAATATTGAAAAATCCCAAAAATGAATGTTCCAATTCTAAAACATTGAACACTTGAGAAATCGAAAAATCGGTAAGACGAAAAATCGAAAATTCGAAAAATAAAAAATCGATTTATCAATAAATTGAAAAATCGAAACATCAAAAAACAGAAGAGAGAAAAATATTAAATTTAAAAAATCCAAAAATTGAAAAAACTAGACTGAAAAATTGAAACATTGCGAAATCAAAAATCAAAACATCGAGAAATCGAGAAATAAAAAATCGAAAAATACAGAAATCGAAATAGTCCAAAATCGAAAAATTCTCAATTGAAAAATTTTAACTAAAAATAGCGATGAATCGAAAAATTGAAAAATAAAAAAATTGGAATACTGCAAAGTCGAAAAATTTAATAATTGAAAAATCAAATTTTAAAAATCGAAAAACTGAAGTACCGAGAAATCTACAAGCCAGAAGGCGAAAATCGAAAGATTGGAAAATCGAAGTATAAAAATCTGAAAAATCTATAATTTTAAAATTCGAAAAATTGAAAAATAGAAAAATCTATGGACTGAAAAATTCAAAAAAACATCAAAACATCGGAAAATTAAAAAATTGAAAGACTGAAAAATCTAGAATTTTTAAAAATCACAAAATTTTGAAAAATCCCAAAAATGAAAAATTCCAAAACTGAAACATTGAAAATTTAAGAAACAGAAAAATCGGAAAGACTAAAAGTCGAAAAATCAAAAAATCGTTAAATTTGAAAAAAGAAAAACATTGCATTTAAAAAATCAAAAAGACTAGAAATCGAGAAATCCAAAAAAGCCTAAAATTTAAAAAATCGAAAAACTGAAAAACCCAAATAGAGAAACTGAAACACCGCGAAATCGCAACATCAAAAATCGAAACATCAAAAATCGAGAAATCGAGAAACAAAAAATCAAAAAATACAGAAATCGATATGTAGTCCAAAATCGAAAAATTCAAAACTGAAAAATTTAAACTAAAAATACCGATAAATCGAAAATTGAAAAATTTAAAAATCGGAATACCTATTGCAAAATCGAAAAATTTAGTAATTGAAAAATCAAATTTTAAAAATTAAAAAACTGGAATATCGAAAAATCTACAAACCAGAATGTGAAAATCGAGACTGAAAAATATGTAGAATTATAAAATGTGAAAAATCTAAAGTTTAAAAATTCGAACAATTGAAAAATAGAAAAATCGAATGGAAAAATTGAAAAATCAAGAAATTAAAAGATCAAAACATCGAAAAATTAAAAAGTTGAAAACTCCAAAATTAAAAAATTGCAAAATTTTGAAAAATCAAAAAATCGAAAAATTGAAAAATCCCAAAAATGAAAAATCGATTAATCAAGAAATCGAAAAATTAAAACATCAAAAAATCGTTAAATTGGAAAGGAGAAAAATATAAAATTTAAAAAATCGAAAAATTGAAACTCGCGAAATCGAGAAGTAAAAAATCGAAAAATACAGAAATCGAAATAGCCCAAAATTAAAAAAATAAAAATTGGAATACTGCAAAATCGAAAAATCTAATAATTGTAAAAGCAAATTTTAAAAATCGAAAAATTGAAATACCGAAAAATCTACAAGCCAGAAGGCGAAAATCGAAAGACTGGGAATTCGAAGTATAAAAATGTGAAAAATCTAAAGTTTAAAAATTCGAAAAATTTGAAAAATAGAAAAATTAAAGAACTGAAAAATTGAAAAATAGAAAATTAAAAAACTGAAAAATTGAAAAATTGAAAAATTAAAGAACTGAAAAATTGAAAAATCAAAAATTAAAACATCGAATAATTGAAATATTGAAAAATCAAAAAAATGAAAAATTCCTAAACTGAAATATTCAAAACTTGAGAAATCGAAAAATCGGAGAGACGAAAAATCATAAAAATCGATTAGATAGTCAAGAAATTGAGAAATAGAAGAAACGAATTTTCGAAATGCCCAAAATTGGCAAAATTAAAAACCAAAAAATTGAAGAATCGAAAAATTTCAGTATTGGAAAATTGAAAAATAAAAAAAACAAACTAAAAATTCGAAAAATCGAGAAATTGAAGAATCGATAAATTGAAAAATTCCAAAACTGAAATATTGAAAAATTCAGTAATCGAAAGATCCAGAAATTGAGAAATCGAGAAACTGAAACAACAAAATCGAAAGTCCGAAAAATCGAAAAATTGAGTATTAGTATAAAAATTAAACCACAAGTTCAGGACTATGACACTTTTTAACATTTAAACAACATTAACCTTAAACATTTGCAAAATTTCAAAGCATTCGATTTTGCAATTTCAACGGAAAACACACAAGCGGGAGTCCACATTATTTTATGAAATTTAATTACTATTAAAAATTGGAGATGACGTCATTCCATCGCTGATGGGGATGATCATGATATTCCTAACATACAATGCATACGTAATTTGTCAACAATTGTTCCGGTAATTTGCGATATTATTTGTGTAATAAATACAGACAGACCGACCGACAGGCAGACAGAAACGGGCTATCTGTTTTTCGTACTCTCGGGGTCATGAAACGTGGAGAAAATATGAAAGCTCGATGGACTCGGCGCTCGGGAAGCAAAAAAACAAACAATCGTGTGGATGATATTTATGTTACTTTTACAAGACTATAACATTCGATTGAGACTTCATCCAGCGCAAAAAGTGAAAATAATAACTCCCATTTAACGCTACGCCACTCGTATAATTCGTCGCACACATTTTTTAATTTGTCACCACCTGAATTTAATTTCAACAACCTTCCAGAGCGTTAAATCGAATATATTAAATCATAAACCAGAAATTTTCGGCTCTTATTTTTTTTTTCGGTGTGTTTAGTGTCGCTGCCAGTTGGTATCGACACCAAAATTGAACGAGGCCCTTCCATCCCATTCAAAAACTCGTTAATTTCACTTCGAAAATTGAATCCATATTCGGCCGACGAAATGTTTATTGAATTGTTTTCCAATTTCTTTGAGGTACGTACGTTGCAGCAAAGCGCGGAAAACACATCTGCCGTGTTCCAATTTGCATTCCCACCGCCACAATAGCGTTTTTTTGTACAGAAATAACAGTGGGTTTGTATAATGAAACACAAAATGATTTGAAAAAAATCGAATTGTATCGTTTACACAACATTGCCAAAAAATGTATTCAAAAATGACCAGAGGGAGAAGAAGCTTTTGAAATGTACTTAGTTTTCTCGTTTTTAATTTCACGAATTTTAATCTGGAGTAAATAAAATGAAAAAAAGTTCGAGCTTTTGATTACTATATTCCGTGTTCGAAATGTTTGTCGAAGCCTTTTCGCGTCTTTGATGAACGCGAGGGCGTTGTAACAAAACAAACACAAAAACACATCTGCCATGTTTGTTTCAATTTGCATTTCCACGATTCAATGTTCCACTTTTTTCAGAGGAAACACTGGCCGGACGATGGGAAGCCTCTCCTCCTGTCGCATCCCATCTATCGAATATTCTACGTGTCGCACGACTCTCAGGACTTGAAAATATTTAGTTATATAGCTAGGGACGGAGCTTCCAATGTTTTTAAATGTGCAGTATTCAAATCGAACAAAAAGGTACGTAGCTTTTTTCGACTTCGTATTTTGTAATTCTGCCAACCGAGCTGCCTACAACCTGTCGAAAACTAATTGTTAGTTGGACGCTGTTTTGTTTTTCTGTCGAATAATTGGGGACAAAACAAAAATTTCGGCTTTCGCCCGGAATGCTAATTAAAATTTTTGCGTATACGAAAGGGTGCATTAATGAAATCGGAACACGTTGTGTTCTCGAGAATGATGTTGTGTTACAAAGGGCGTAATTGAGGCTCGGTGCTATTATTATCACGTGTGACAGGTGTTTTGAAATTTAATATTGTTGGCTGCTTCCGAAGATTGTTACGAAGGAGTTATACAAACGAATTACTAGTTAATTAATACTCCAATTGGTGGCGTAATTTCTCCATTTACTCGGTTCTTTTTAATTAAGTTATCGTCGATTTTTTAAAACGCAGCTGTATTGGAATATTATCTCCAAATTATTATGGATTACTCGTTAAGTGCATTCTGTAATTAGCAGTAAACAAATTTTATGAGGTTATTAGTAGCTATATTAACATGTCAACAGTTTCTAATAACGCTAAATTATTACTAAAAGCTGGAGTAATTAAATCGGTAGCAAACCAGAATTGCGACTGTTTGTAAATTAAACCGAAGAAACGTCACAGCGACTGACAAGGGATGTAAGAACTGCGCCCGTGAAGTACAGTCCAACGAATCCTGCTTCTCAGTACATGATAACTTCGACTGTTTATGTTTATACTTCGAAAAACAACACAAGAACACTCATAATTTGAAGATATTTATTCGACAAAATTGTAAAATGACGGACAAATTTTGACGATTTACTATGTTTCCAAGAATCTGAAGTATTTGTAAATTTCACAGAATTCGGTTTTTGCAATTTAATTTTTTATTACTATTATCTGCCTAATAAAATTCCGGGCAGACGGTAGGCAGACAGACAGACAGACAGATAGACGGAAACAAGAGATCTGCTTTTTCTGCTCAGGAAGTAAAAATGCAACATAACCACAGTAAATTAAGTACCGTTTGAAGCAAAAAATTATTAGAAGTCAATTTTTCTTTGTTGAGTCGTAAAAGTCGACGATCACATGAAAAGAAGTCGAAAATTGGAAGAGACATCATACGTTATGACATCACGTTGTGCGTGTGCCAAAATTTTGTCGTTTTTAATTCAGCTCAAGAGCTCGCTTGGCAGAGATACCGAACGACACACTACATTAATTCGTAAACAACAATGAAGCAACTTCCTTGGCGGAAAGCACGTAGAGGAAGAGGGAAATCCAGCGCCCGAAACGTTGGTTTTATGATAAGCGTGTCCCTAATAATGCCCACTTACCATAAATTCACTTCTTTACAGCAAGCACAGCTAAGCACACAAACATTACGCGATTAGTCGGATTTTATTGGCGATTTACATAAATATCAAAGGAAAAGTTGGAAGTTGTTCTCTGGACTTCTCTAATTAAATTAACGATTCCTGGAAAACGTACAAAAAGAGCCCGGCGCGTATTCTTTTTGGAGCTAATTCGGGAACTTCTTCAATTCCCTTTACATTCCAACTTTGGCGAGAACTGAGAGTCCTTATCTGATTAAACGGGAGCCAAATTTGCCAAAACAAACTCATTTTTTTCTGAAACAAACTTCAAAAGGGGCTACCGTCTGGCATTTTCTTTTGCTCGATTCGATTTACGTACGCGTACAGTCGGATATTCCGTTATTTTCATTGATGACTTGCGCTTCTACGGAGCATGCAGCCACCGGAGCTTTGTCTAGGTAATTGCTTTTTAATAGAAAAATTACCGGGTTCATTACTGTTAAATCTATGATAGTGCGGAAAAATTTGAGAAACTTATTAATCGTCTACTTTATGTGTGGTTCGAAATTAATTTTTCAGATTTTTTTATTAATGACGGCAAGGAATCATTTTTCTGTAAAGTATTTTTCATGAAAGATACCAGGTCGGATTTTCAACGTATGAACAAGATTAATTGAGTGTAAATTGTGCTTGGCCATGTCTCAAATTGCGATCGTCGTGCGTACGGGAGCTTATTTTTTAATCTAAATTGAGAGCTTTATTTGCAAACTCAAGTCTGAAAAACCATCAAATGACGCTTTTGAAATCATTCTCTTAATTTGTTTTGAATATTGGATTCTAAAAATTTTTCCACTCACAAAACGCTAGTCACTTTTGACTTTAATTTAAATCTTGGTAGATTAATAATAATAGGACTTTATTAAATAATAATAGGCGAAGTCTAGCCATAGGCTATTCCACTTAACCTTAGATTTACAAGAAAATAAAACTAACCAAACAGTTTGTACAGAAAAACGGATTAAATATCTAGACTGGAGTCAGCTAGGTAATGATCAAATTAAACAATTTAAACTAATTAAATCTAAATTAAATTAAATTAAAATTAAATTAAATTAAATAATCCATAATTAGAAACTAAATTTATACAAATAATAATAATAATAATAATAATAACAAAAAGTTAACAAGCAAGAGAACCACAATAATAAACTTAAACCTAAGTATTAATCAAGCATTTTTTAATTTTTTTCCTAAAACAATTGATGGAAGAACTTGAATTAAACTCTAATAAAAATTTATTGTAAACTTTGATAATATTGTACGTGAAAGATCTCTGAAAGATAGATGTATAATGCTTTGGCATTGACAGTTCTTTAAGATTCCTTAATGGGAGACTTGAGTTTAACATACTTTTTCTTGTATGAAATTTACAACGCAAGTACGGCGGAGAGTTAGAGGAAAATAACTTGAAAGCAAAGATAGATAGGTGATACTGAAACAATTTGTCAATTTTCATCCAACCAAGCTCACAGATTTTCTGAGACACATGATCAAATTTCCTCAAACCAAAAATGAAACGACAACAATTATTTTGGATTTTTTGAAGACGGTATTTATCAATACTGTCAAGACATGGGTAATATATTACTAGGCAATAATTTATATATGACAAGACAAGAGACTCACATAATTTCTTCCTCAATTTAAAATTGAGTAAAAGGTAATTTGAATAAAGAAGTTTCAATGCTACATAAGATTTTTTAATAATGTTAGAAATATGGGTCTTAAAACGAAAATCGTCATCAATCACCAATCCCAAATTTCTTACAGTATGTAAAACTGGTAGTTTTATGTTATCAAATTTAACATCAATATTGTCAAAAACAACATTTTTAAATTTTCGGGGAGCGAAGCAAATAACTTTGCATTTATTTATATTCAGTTGGAGGTTAATATCAGATGAAACATTTGCTATATTTTGTAAGTCATTATTTATATGGTTAGATGCTATATCAACTTCGTTAGGTAGGAAATGATGCTGCATTTGGGTGTCATCTGCAAAGGCTCTCTTTTTAGATACTGAAGGTATCTGCAACAATTGGGAAGTATATATAGTAAAAAGAATTGGGCCTAAGACCGAGCCTGACGTTATTAAGCCAATTTTAGATTTACCAGACTCGGTTACAACTTGTTGATGTCGATTTTGTAAATATGATTTAAAAAACGAAACAGAAATTTGATTCTACCACTCAAATCAGAATTCAATTCCCATTTTACAGTAAATAAAATAAGTCAGTGAAATGGAAAAAGTTTTAGGATATTTTAAAATTTGCGTTTTTCTACTTTGGCTATTTTGGAAAAACGGCAAGAATTTTCAAAGAACTGATGATGTAATTGACTAAAACGAATTTTTGATTATTTTTCCTAGAAAAAAAAAATCAAACACACTTGATTTGCTAATATTTGAGTATGGAGAAGATTAACCTTTCATAGATAAAAAGCGACAGCTTAAAGTAAATGTTTTTTGTCCTGGTTTTATACTCTTTGCCTTTTTATAACCTTCATCGATTCATCTGGAAACGCCAACTTTAAATTAACAAAAAAAAACCGTGATGGGCTGTCAGTGGCGGCCGTTCTACTGTGTCGCACACCCGGCCAAAAGCCCAGCATCGCCTCCGTTTCAAAAACGCCAAAACTTTGGCAACCGCCCCGTTACCGTGATGTCACCACATATGACGTGTTTCCGACTCTCCACTTTTCGACTTTTTATTAACCGTAATCACCGAGCGTCCACGTGGCGGGAGAAAAGACGCTATTTCCGAGCCGTAATTGAATGGTGCAGAATATACAGACCGCGCCATCGTATTTTCAGCTCGTATCGATATTGTGCCAACGTCAACTAAATAAAAAGATGACAGGCCGCATCAGGAACGGGCGATGTTTTCTAATATGCCGTATCGGCGCCAAAACAAAACATCCGAATCCATCAAATCTGGAGCTGCTCCTCCTTTGACGAAGGGCACATACATTTTTCAGGATGTGACAGTTGCATTATGAAACGCAGAAGGGAAGAACTCGAAATTGTGCTTCGATGTCGGCATCTCGCGACTGAGCGGAATACAAACAAAAACTCAAAGCGTTCGGCGTTGAGTGCTTGGACGTTTGTCGATGTCGTAACCGTATTTGTATGAATATTGGCTGAACGCTTTGCATCACTCGATGGCGGGTCCTTTGGGAGCGGGAGCTTTAAAGGAGCAGTTTGTAAATAATCCCGGACGAAGACGGGACGCGTTATAAATGGCGAGAGGTCGAAAATGTCGAAGTCAAAGGTTCGTGTGCATTGACGGACGGATTCATTAAAGTAGTTATTGATGGTTTTTCAGAAAAAAACAAGTTAATTTGTTGACACGTGTTTAATAATTCGGCATTTTTTCGGCGCTGGTAGGTTGGTATTTTTAAGTATGATTGTGAAGTCTGCGACTTGAAATCTGTTCGTTATTGTTATGGAGCGGAACACCAAGTTGTGCGGCTACTCAAAATAAGGGAACGAACGATTATCATTTTTGTGGAAAAAAATTGACAATTAAAAATTATGACGTCAGTTGATATTTAAACTGATCTAATTTTGAAAATTGCGGTTCTTGTAGGTTCGTGGTAGGTATTTTTCTTTTCTGAACAA